TTAATGTCACTCATGTGCTGCTACGCAGCACATGGGAGTGACATTAATTCCGATGAAAAAAAAATTCCTTGTTATTTATCATCGTACGCCCAATATCTTATACTTATTAGCCTATATTATAGACAAGTTTTTTTATTAGTTAAGATCACAAAAAATAAATTTTCACAAACAAAATGGCTTAAATTGTTGAGTTTATTATACCTATAAGCTAATTTTAAATATCCAAACATACCTCTCATCTTACTTGCGAATTATTTCTCGGATTACTTTGACAGTATATAGACCAGAAGGTGCTCTTTCGCTTTCATTTGGTATCAAGTTTGGCCAATTCGTCTCCGTGGCTGCCTAACCATTTTTGTAACTGCAAAACATTACGCCACTATGTGAAACATATTGTGTAAAATTTTGTGTCGATCATCCAATCAGCTTTGTTATATGTCCAGATATATAAATCCGGATAGAGGTATTAACTCTAATTACAGCACTAAAATAATCAACAATATTAATTGAAGAAATTCTATTTTTATCTGGATGAAAATAGATATAGTTGTCAAATTGGAACTTTATTACAAATCAAATGTATAGACATCAAATTTGAAAATTGATTTCTAACATAAGATGTCACACGTTACATAATTTTTGTTAATTTTGTCATGAATGAAAATTATTGCTATAAAGTTTTTTCTAAATTTGTATAATAAAGCATTTCTAAATTTGTCAATAATTTTAATAAAGTTTTTTCTAAATTTGCAATAATTAAAATTTTTCGGAACAATATTTATTCAAATTTGTATGATATATTTTTAGTTCAAAATTTGTTTTTTATTTTATTTGCATGTTATATACATATATTGTATATGTCGTGCCTAAGGTTGCACTCGATTGAAAATGGGCATTGTTATTGAGTTATTTGTTTTCGAAGAATCACTAGAGAAATTTGAGAAACATTCAATAAACTATTCTGTCAGGATCAATAATCTTATTAAGAATTATCTTACATAAATTAATTGATATTATTATAATAAAGTTTTGCCTAAATTTGTCAATAATTTAATAAAGTTTTTTCTAAATCTGTTGATAATTAAAAATTTTTGAAACAATTTTATGTTATTTGTTTATATATATGTTGTGCCTGAAGATGCACTTGATTGAAAATAAACCATTGTCATTAAGTTATTTATTTTTTGAAGAATTACTACAATTGTGAAAATTGAGAAACATTCCAAAACCATTCTATCTGTTAGAATCAATGATCGTTATCATGAATTATCTTACATAAGTTAATTGATATTATGCGATTTTTCTACCAAATTCGTATTCCAATCAAACTCGTATATTTTAATTCATTGTTGATATCTTATGATCTAATTTTTCTTGTTGAAACGATTTGAATAGTATCGAAACAATCAAAATTTGATCACTAGATCATAAGTTATCACAATAGATCAAAATATACGAATTTGATTGAGATACATATTTTTTGTAAGAAAATCGCATATTATAATAAAGTTCTACTTAAATTATCTATTTACATATTTGAATTTTCTGAAAAATATGAAACATTTATGAGTCCTTTATTTGGAACAATTATTATAGATTGTGCTCTGTTATACAATTTCAATTTCTAGAATTCATAAAATTCTCGTAAAGAAAAAAGTTTGCCGAATTGATAAAAGGAAATCCAACCGATTTTTTTTAGTTTTTATTTAAATTCATTTAGTTAAATTTTATTTTTTAAAATGAAATGTTAAAGTTAAACTTTAATAATCTCTAAAATTGGTGAGATTAAATTTCATATCTAAACAATTAAAAACAGTGCTATCTAAAGGATGCAATAAGGTTCGAAAATACTGATTCTTACACAATTATAATATACATTATAATAAAGAAATTCAAGAGTTCATAAATAAATTATAAAGTTATAAAAAAAAAATTGTAAAATGCGCAGGAAAAATATATCAATAGATTTCATTTTGTTATAAATATACACGTTTCTAGCCTTGAATCATCTAAGAAATTCTATCCTTGAATCATCAAACGATTTCTAACCTTGAATTATCTAAAGAGTAATCACACTTCTAAAATACAATATCTAAACAGTAAACAGTAAAAATGTATAAATTCATCGTATTTTTTTTTATTTACATACTACTTATTAACCCAACCTACTCTAAAGATGAAGATAAAAAAGACAACCTATCTGGTTTTAAAGAATGTGATGGTACCTTTCCAAATAAAATTACACACTTTACATTTGACCCAAATCCAACTGTAAAGAATACAACAATAAAATTTGAAATTGGTGGGATTTCTAAAGTTCCATTTGATAAAGAATCTCACATTAGCGGCATGTCATTTCTTAATGGTGATCCCATAAACTTTTATGTTCAAGACTTTTGTGAAGAATGGGTTGAGCCAAGTGGTGAACATTGTCCTGTTAAACCGGGGGAATTTTATTTTAAAGGCAGTCAGTACTTGAAACAGACAAGTGAAGATCCTACAGGTGTAACTCTTACTGGTTACTTAAGACTTGTCAGTAAGTATTCATTTTAATTTTTTATAAAATTTATTATTGAACTACAATTAATTATATTCTTTCTTTAAAGTTGCCAGCCCAGAAGGACATATCCGCTCATGTATTGAGGGGGATATTACAACTGTTTATCTTTAAATTTACTCAATTTAGTAGGGAAGCTAAAGTTTTAATAACAATACAATAAACCTCTCAAAATGCAACTTCTAATTTTGGCCAATTATATACTTGATTTTCATAAGTATATTTTTTATTTGTTCTCTAAATTTAGATATCTAAAAAGCTTAGTCCATATAAATTCGCATTTATAATTTGCATTTATAAAGATTTGATTGTATAAAAGCTTTAATATCGATTTATTTATTATAAATAAGTGTTATAAAAATTTGGTATATATTTAATCCCTGTTATTTTTTACTATGTTAAAATAAAGATTTTGGTTTATTTTTGTTATCAGACAATAAAAATTCTTCAATTCTCTGGCATTTTATATTATATTGCAATGAAGAAAATTATCATAACATCAAAGTACATATAAAATTTAGTCTTATTAAAAATATGCTTTATGATACGTATCATAAAATGAATGAATGAGTAAATTTTATATAAAAGATATATGTTTATAAAAACATTTCAGTTTTTATTACTGTTAATATGTTTGATAAACATATTTAAGTAGAAAACATATAACAAACTATTTCATAAATTTATAAAACGACAACATTCTTTACTATCTTGTCCAACAAAATTTGCCACTTTTTAATCTCGCAATAGCTTATAAATATTGTATGTAACAATAAAAGAGTAAACTTAGAATTTTTTTAGCAAAATTTTAAATGTTTTTAATCAAGTTCTCAATTTTAATTCCCCTAGTCAAAGTACTAAATACAGGCATGCATTGAACAAGTGATCTGTGTTCTATTTAGCCTTTATGCCAACACACGATAAATCATCAATGGACGTTTACTTATTCCTTTTATTCCTTTAGCACACATCTCTAAACCATTTTATCATTTTTAGAAAGGCAGCTTAATACCGCAGGTCAGGCAATGAAAGATACTTATTATTAATTTACAGTATTTATTAAATCTCTTCATTACAACATTACAGATTATCCATTATTCCCTATTCATTGCACTATTATCATGCCAATAATTAGAAATAGAGCTTCGTATTCGTATTCGTTATTCGAATAATATTCGTATTCGGCGAATATTCGAATAAATATTTAT